GTATTTAGATTTAATGAATATAATGAATTACATTATTAGTGAAAAAACAATGAAAAATAATGAAAGATGTGACACATGGTAAACGACACAAACTCATCTCTTAATAATTGATTATACTCCTGGTATCTGGACTGTTGTTCACATCTGTATTTACCAGAATCATATTATTTTTCTTGATGCTTTTGCTGATGTATTTAAAGACTAGTTTCTGTCTTGTTTTTGCCCAGATGTGTGTAACAGTACCGACTTGCCTGAACTTGAGATTATCAGCTTGTTGGAGGAGCAGCTTCCTCTCTACAAGCTGAGAGCCGACACCGTCTTCGGTTATGAACAAGATGATTGGCTGCACACGCCGCTTGTGGACGCCGACGCCGCCCTCGACCTGACCACTGAACAGATAGAAGAGACCCTCAAATACTTCTGTAAGTTATTCTCAAACTGTTTGTTTTTTAAGTAATTGAAAAGGTTGTTGAAACTATCTACATCACAAATCAGACTTTGGTTTTTTAAAAGCTATTGAAGTTTGACTTTAATCTGTTGACTGTGAGTCAAAGGTGGAGTCTGTTACAGTGAGGCCGCTGGGCATGGTTAACAAACAAACACAACCCTTGGGTTATTGTTTAGCCCTGTCTTGCACTCTGCTCTTGTGTTTTTATACTTGTCTGCTCTGGTCTTATCAAACTGACTCATGGTTGCCGCTGCTTTAACCTCTTCAGCCGGAAAAAAAAACCCAACAACAACAACAGACACTTTAACACACCCTGGCAAGAACTTTGGAATCACAACTCTTGAATATGTTTTTCCAATTGTTTAATTTTGTATAAAATATAAGTCACAGACATGCCACAAAACTAGCATTTTTCAAAATATCAACTTTCTGGTGTTAAGAAACTAAAAGAAGGAAAACATATATAATTATTGTAGTCAGTCATAATTGTTTCTTTTTTTCAATTAAGTAGAGCAAAACGTTGCAAAACCATTAAAAAACCTTGTAATTTCTTGCACCACATCTGACTTTTATATCAACCTGATTTCTCTGAAACATAGACCTAACTAATAACATCAGTCCGGCTACGACTCTTATTGCTGTTGCCAGATCAGCTTTGCAGGCTGGAGTCTTGCCATTGACAATTTTCTTCAATTTCTAGATCCTGCCTGCATGATTTGTGAGTCAGCATGAAAAAACCTAAAATTAGCTCACCTGTGTCATTAATAGCCTCAACTGAAACCTAGACTTCACCTCTCTTCTCTCAGACAACAAGGTCACTTTAGCCTGTGCATTTCTATTAAACAGCAAGGTTGTTACATCAAATGCTGAAAAACAAATAAGAAATAAGTACTGTCAGTGGAGTTACATGTACAGCGGGTAAAATAAGTATTGAATACGTCAACATTTTTCTCAGTAAATATATTACTAGAGGTGCTAATGACATGAAATTTTCACCAGATGTCGGTAACAACCCAAGTGATCCATACATACAAAGAAATCAAACCATAAATGTCCAGAAATGAAGTTATTTGTAATAATGTGGAATGGCACAGGGAAAAAGTATTGAACACATGAAGAAAGGGAGGTGTAAAAAGGCATGGAAAGGCAAGACACCAGCTGAACTCTCTCAGTAATTTCAAAGCAAGCCTGCCCCTTGTCAGTGCAAGTTAATATCAGCTGGTTCAGTCCCAAATGATGGCCAGGTATCACACAAGAACCATCTGATGATGGGTAAAAGTAAAGAGCTCTCTCAAGACCTTCACAACCTTATTGTTGCAAAGCATAATGATGGCATCGGTTACAGAAGAATGTCTAAACTTCTGAAGGTTCCAGTGAGCACTGTTGGGGCCATAATTCAGAAGTGGAAAGAACATTATTTCACCATAAACTGACCACGACCAGGTGCTCCTCTCAAGATTTCTGACAGAGGAGTGAAAAGAATTATCAGAAGAGTTGTCCAAGAGCCAAGGACCACTTGTGGAGAGCTTCAGAAACACCTGGAATTAGCAGGTACGATTGTTTCAAAGAAAACAATAAGTAATGCACTGAACCACCATGGCCTGTATGCACGCTCACCACGCAAGACTCCACTGCTGAAGAAACAGCATGTTGAAGCTCCTTTAAAGTTTGCTGCACAACATTTAGACAAGCCTGTGTAATACTGGGAGAATATAGTCTGGTCAGATGAGACCATCATTGAACTGTTTGGATGCCAGAATACACATCATGTTTGGAGGTCAAATGGCACTGCACATCAGCCCAAAAACACCATACCAACAGTGAAGTTTGGAGGTGGGAACATCATGGTGTGGGGCTGTTTTTCAGCATATGGTACTGGCAAACTTCAAATAATTGAAGGAAGGATGAGTGGAAAAATGTACAGAGACATTCTTGATAAAAAAAAAATCTGCTTCCATCTACCAGGATGAAGAAGATGAAACGTGGCTGAACATTTCAGCAAGACAATGAGCCCAAACACAAAGCCAAGGAAACTCTCAGTTGGTTTCAGAGAAAGAAACTAAAGCTGCTGGAATGGCCCAGCCAATCACCTGACCTGAATCCAACAGAAAATCTTTGGAAAGAACTAAAGATCAGAGTTCATAGAAGAGGTCCAGGAAACCTTCAAGATTTGAAGACTGTTTGTGTGGAAGAATGGGCCAAAATCACACCTGAGCAATGCATGCCACTAGTTTCTCCATACAGGAGGTGTCTTGAAGCTGTCATTGACAACAAAGGCTTTTATACAAAGTATTAGATAAATTTCAGTAAGTGTGTTCAATACTTTTTTCCCTGTGCCATTCCACATTATTACAAATAACTTCATTTCTGGACATTTATGGTTTGATTTCTTTATATGTATAGATCACTTGGGTTGTTACCAACATCTGGTGAAAATTTCATGTCATTAACACCTCTAGTAATATATTTACTGAGAAAAATGTTGACGTGTTCAATACTTATTTTACCCTCTGTCTGTTCCTAACTGTATTTCTCACATACTGTAGTTTCCTGGTTATCTACCTTACTGATGGCACGTGAGTTCTAATTATTACCCCGGCAGATGGTCTAGGTATTTGCACACTGAGGGGCCATGATTTATGATGTGATGTGTTTGATTATTCCCCTTCTGTGTGCTCCTGAAGCTTCAGGTGTTTAATTATTGTGTCAACTATCAGAAAGAGTCATGAAGATGATCTTATGTAAATGTTTACTTATGAAGAAATGACCAGATTTTAGTTCTTCTGCAGTCTTGTGTGTTAGCAGGAGATCACACACACACACACACACACACACACACACACACACCGAGTTGTTGCTGATGTAACATCAGGAGGCCATGATGATTTGAAGGCAATCGAAATCAGCCCTGTACAAGTTTTGATTAAGTAACACACATGTTATTATGATCTGAAGTGATTTATTTATGAAATGTTAATTTTTAAAAAACACTTGTATGTATATGGGTAGTGATAATACATGTATTCTGATGGAAATACTTCCGTCTAATCATTAATTTAATCTAAAAATAGGATTTTATGGAGCCTAGCAGAATGATTTTTTTCTGTCACATTCGTAGGTCATTTTCTCAGCAGTACATGTTTCATTCACAAGTCTTTTAACTAGCACAGCCTTAGCTGGTTGTGTTCTGTTGATGTTGTTACTGAATGAACTGTATATTTGCGTCGTGTGCCCTGATGAGCCTTTCACCTCCGTCACACACGCCGATCCTTGAATAGCTTGTTTGGGTTCGTTTTGAGCCCGCCACGTCACTTCTGCCAACGCTACACGGCTTTCCTGCGAACTGCCTCTACATGCTGAAAGGGCCTCTGAGTCCAGAGCCTGTTACTGTAGCAACCGCTCAGAAGGACAAAAGTAGAGGAGAGGAGGAGGGAAGTGCTGACGCGCAGTAGTAGGCGGGAGCGTGCCTACCGTACTTGTCCCTTTCATTGGCTGCAGACTGCTCTGTAAGCCCACCCATCCCACGTTTCATCAGCAGCATCCCTTCTGCTGCAAAACCCGTGACTGCTGCTGCTGCTGATGGTGGTGGTACCGTTTTCTCTGTCTCTGTATTCATTGACTTTTTGTAGGCGGTGCAGTGCTTCACGTGTAGAGTTGCTTCTGCTGCTAAGAAAAGGATGTTGGAACGAGGATGAAAAAAAGGCCACATTTTGATTTTTAACTAGACAATACCGGACCAGTCAAGGAAGCTGAAGATGATGTGACCTGGAGCTGCTGTGGATGTCATGATGAAAGAATTTGCTTTGAAGGTTTAAAATTACTGAGATAAACTGACAGACAGAAAGAAGACACATCTGAGGACAATACGAGACTGCCATGAAGCATTTTAAAGAAGCATGGACATAAACACAACAAAGTGAGGCTTTTGTTTTGTTATTTTCTGCCAACTGCTGGAGCAAGTAATGATTTGATAGTTTAATATGCTGAAACAATACCAGCACATAGAGCATTATGCACTGATTGACAAGCTGCTGCTTATAGTTGTGGAGCAGAAAGGACAAATGATGAGAGACTCTAACCAATGCTATATGCTTACTGCTAAGCATGCTGGGACCACTGGGTGCTGCCTGCAGTCAATTAGACCTACATAAAACTTGACTTTATGACCGTTCTGGGATATTGGATATGCCAGAGATGCTAGGACTAAATATGCTGCGACATTGGGACATCTGTCCGAACAAGTGGTGAGGATGAAGAGACGAGGCCAGTCCAGAGGCCAGAGATTTGTCAAGGCTGACTACTATGAACTGGACTGGTACTATGAAGAGTGCACTGATGGTAAGACCCTGCTATGTTACGGTTTTATGCACATATTTGTAGCTGCAGAGTCAGGCTGAGCAGTGATCTTGGGAATATACGGTAGAAACTGAAGGTTATTGTTTTCATTAACAGGAGAAAGCACACGAGAGAGCAGAGCATGCTAAACACACACCAAAAGGACCTAACAGAGATTCAAACCTGAGATGTTCTCGCTGCAAGGCAGTAAAGCAAACCAACTGGGCCACCAGTAAAGTTTAAAAATTCAAAACCAAACATAATGAAATAAAAGAGACAATCCTTGAAAGAATTTGCATGCCAGAGTTTTAAGAAAGATCTGAGAGTTTGATTACAGTCTGTCCCGTGGTTCACGAGATATTTTGCTAACCAGACGGACACATAAACACACACGTGCTAATATGCACAGACACAAACAATATTTAAAAAGCTGCTGTCTCAATCAGGAGGTGGAATTTAATCCACATACTTTAAAGGACGGACACTATAGTTATGTTGACACTAAAAGACCAATTCATTTATTCTCTCTTTCAATCATTTATACATCAGTGTTTAAAGCTGTGCAGTCTGGGTACTACATGGACACAGTTGCAAGCAAATTAATCTATCAAAAAGCTAATTAAATTTAGTATTTAGTCCAAAGAACCCTTGATATGAACTTGGGAAATTGGGGATTGAGCCAGCAGCTATCTATTGGGCCCATGACATAAAACTCTCTGTTATGTCATAGATTTTGTAGGTTTTGGCGTAGTAGGTATTATTTATGTAACGCACCAAGGTCTGTTACAACAGCTTGTAATAATGTCCTGCAGCGGCTTGGGTCCATAATCTGTTGTAATGACTCTACTGATTGATCCACCAGAACAGATCAGTGTGATTGATAGAGCAATGACTCCTGGGTGTTTCCTGGTCATGTGACAGGTGTGACTCTCAGCAGGTTAGAACAGTGGTTGGTACTATATCAGCAGGCCTTTTGGCTCTGGCTCCGTTTGTAAAGTCAGTATCTCCTCATCCAGGTTTTCTGTCACTGTAAAATGCAGCTGCTTGTGTAACGTGTAATAGACTTAGTTGTGTCACCTGCAACAAAGGTGTTTTATTTGACTGCACACAGCTCTTGTTTATGTAAACTCTGTGTATTTTTAGCCATTTCAATCAAATTACAAAATGAATATGAATGTCTGGTGGATGAAAATGGAGAATGTGATTTAACTGCATGTCACTGTCACACATTAAGTATGCGTTTTGGGGATGTTCTGTAAAACTTCTTACATAACAGTATGGGACAGCTCAGCACCTCCAATGAGAGCTATGCAACATAAATAACTGATATTACTCAACCATGGAAGTCAACCCCTGTTCGATTGGTTATTGGATTATTTTTTGGCACCCGTTGTCCGGTGAGAGGAAGGATAATCTTTGATTAATCTTTTCACAGAGGCAGAAATAGCAAGCAGCTGGCTTTATTCTGACAGGCGGAGGGATGAGGAAGTAGGTTGGCTTATATTTAGCCTAATGCTTTGCATGATTCTCCTGGCTACTTTTGTTAAAGGGAGCACCCAATACTTTTAGAAGCCTTTTGTAGAGGTAACCCTGGTGAAAAAAAAACTTTTCTATTGTTTATTTTCTTTGTCTTTGATTTTATATTTTTACACTTATAAGAAGAAA